TCTCTCTCTCTCTATCTATCTATCTATCTATCTATCTATCTATCTATCTATCTATCTATCTATCTATCTATCTATCTATCTATCTATCTATCTCTTTCTCTCTCTCCCGGTAAGGGCATACTATCGCTAGCACTTTTTCGGGAAGAATCTTTCCGATATTTCAGTGAGATTCATCCACATCGGGCTGTTATTGTGGTCAGATACAGACAAGAAAGTGGTCGTGTGCGTATGCCTTTCCACTTTCCCTGTGCCAATAACGCGGGTGTACTGGTTCTAAATCTAGGTATCTCTCATCTGTCTATCTATATATCTACCTATCTATGCATCTATCTATCTATCAAATCTTTCTATCTATCCATCTAGATTATCTACACTATCTACCTATCTATCTATCAACCTATTAATACTAATAATTTAAGAGGCTTTTTTTTTTTTTTGGAAAAAGTGTTCCATCTATTGGTGGGGAGCGTCACCCGCTGGAAACCGGATCCAGCGTCCCATAATTACATCCCTTTTTATAAACGTTGATCATAATCATGAGAACATATAACCTTGATGATCCTTGTGCCTCTTCAACCTAACCAGGGTGCCAGAAATACTTTTCTTCCTAGCACCATAGCCCATTGTATTATAAGCCTATGTAGAACATCCAAAACCAGATCATAACCATGAGAACATATGATCTTGTTGATCCTTGTGCCTCTTCACCCTAACTAGGGTGCCAGAAATACTCTTCTTCCTAGCACTTGACCACAGTACCATATTACAAGCATATGCAAAACATCCAAATGCAATGGATGTCAGGTCTAAACCCTTGTTCATACCCATACCATGATCTGGGAACCAATTGTAGATTTGGTGGGGGAAAAGGATCAGGGAAGTCCATCAAAGGCCTTAATGGAATATCAGGATCAACTTCAATCCAGTCATTGAGACCACGCGGTAATTCCTTTGAAGCCCATCGTGATCATCTGCTTGTGCTCCCTCCCATTTCACCTATGTGTCTTATCCTCCCTCCCTGGTTCCCCCCAAGCCAGCGTTGATTGAGTAATTTAATATGTTGCAAGAGTTCTTTTTTCAATGTCAGATACTGTATTTTTTCCTTTAGAGTTTCCCATTTGGTAGTCACTGTGATCTCTGTTTGAATATGTTGCTTAATAGTTTTAGTAAATTCTGGCCCATCCAAGCGTGCACCTTCCATTTCATAGGTACGCCTACGTGTCCATAATTGTCCAAATGACGACTGCTCTCCTTCCTACTGTGAACAAGTTTAAGGTAAAATCATCTCTCTGATCTGGATTCGAGGTTTCCAAGAGCAATGCCTTCCAATCCCAAGGCCAGGGAGGGATGTTCCAAATTAATCCCAAATCCTGTCCCACCAACGCCATAACCAAACTGATCCTGGGCGTTGGAGGAAAATGTGCTCAATTGTTTCCGGTATTAACTTAGATGGGAAGGCTGATTTACAAAACTTACACCAAGGATAAGCTATTCCTCTTTGTTCTAGCGAGGTTCTATCAATAATCCAATCATTTGTGAAAACCCTATTAATAAGCTATTATCCATCAATCTATCTATTCTTTCTAGACTATCTATCAATCTATCGATCTATCTATCGATTTATCTACCTGTCTATCTATCTATCGATCTATCTATCAACCTATTATTATATATCAATCGATCGAATCTTTGTAGACACTCATCCGCGGACAACGTTGCTCCACCTTTCCCCCATGCATGCTCTCCACTCCGCCACTTCTGCGCGCAGATGAGCGCACTCCGCATTCGCGAGGAGGGAGCGGGAAGGGGGGGAAGAGCGGGTCATTCGTAGCATGTCGAATGGGAAGGACGGAGCGGGGAGGTGGTTCTATGTGTTGCTTAGGTGGGCATGAAAGGCACACAGCAAACCACCTCCCCGCTCTCCATCCGTACAACCCACCCTACTGCCGCTGTTGGATTGCCATTGTATGTGCACGTGGTCCGTGTAAAAAATAAATAAAAATTCGATGCACTATCGATGCCAGGCCGGATCGCACATAGGTTTCGCTTTTTTTTGGTTTTTCCCTCACTTGGAGATTCGTCGACATACAGCCCCACACACACACACACACACACACACAGAGAGAGAGAGAGAGAGAGAGAGAGAGAGAGAGAGAGAGAGAGAGAGAGAGAGAGAGAGAGAGAGAGAGAGAGAGAGAGAGGATCAAGCATTGCCAAACAGATAGCATGTGTTCCAATCATTCGAATGTCATAGTGGGTGTGCTTGTGCTTGTGCTTGTAGACATCGCTTCTCGTAGTTTTTGTTCGCATAAAAAAAAAAAGTGCTTATGGTTATAGACATTGCTTCTCCTTTTTTTTTTGTTCGCATAAAAAAACATAAAATAATAAAAAACAAAAAGGAAGAAGCTTCAGATGCATAGATTACCACAAAATGTGAGGCTTTACTCTCGCAGAGGACATAATGTGCCAAAAACTGCAATAACTGAAATGCTCGTATGAGCATCCAGCATCGCCCTTCTGCCTCGTCCACTCAGGCGACTACTACTCCTTCTGAATCCTTTAGTAGATGTGCCCGCAACTACCGAGCTGTATCCTGCGAAGCACAAGATCCCTGCCTTAACTCCGTCCGATCATCCTCAATCCTAAGATCACCATGGATCGCGTCGACAACAACAAAGGTCGTGCTAAGACTCAAATCCTACATGCATAACTCCGAATCCGTGACCGAGTACATTTGAAGCACGACTCGACAAAAAATATTCTTCGTATTTGCGGAGCTAAAAAAATCTTGTCAGAGAGGACACTCATCGTAACCGTCTCACTCAATCGTCGTAGCAGAGTCTTGTGTAGGCACTTCCACTACGACCCCGAGCTTTAGATCTCGCCTTAGGCCGAACTAAGGCACTACCTCTTCAACCTCATGATTGCAACGGCTGTCTGCCGACAATATAGTGACCAGATTATTTTGAAACGGTAATTGTACCATAGCCCAAAGACCCCAAACATATATGTATATATATATATAGAGAGAGAGAGCCTCGAAAAAACTTTGTGTTGGACCGACAGCTCCCCTTCGTCGATTGTCTGCCGACAATCCATATATTCATAAATAGTGACAAAAAAAAAATGATACTTATACTGGATGCAACTTTTTTTTGGAAACATGCACACTTACGAAGCCCACATTATATGTCGAAGGTTTCGTGTCGGTTCGGTTGATGTCTCATGTCTGTAACTATCGCAACCGATTTTTGTGACGAGACTTCCGGTTCGTCACCCTGAATCAGTGGCCCGACTTCTACTTGTCCAGACGTTCCTAACCACCGTGTGAAATCCATTGAAGTAGTTTAGCAGCCACTTTCCGTCTCGGTTTTCTGCGCATGGTGTCCGTATTGCCTGCCTGAGAACATGCGGTGGATAACCAAGCAACCCTGCTTCCGTAAAATATAATTTTATAATTCCCGTTGTGTCCCGCTGCAGCATCGTGTCGGTGAGAATCTTGTGCAATGTACTGATAATCGTGAGTGCTTCAGTTCTCACCGAACCGTAGCTCTTGAAATGCTTGATCGTATGAAAGCGTCCAAATGAACCCTCCCAAAGTGATTCAAGATTCTTTAAACGATGTAAGCACTTCAAGAGTGGCCGGTTGTTCGGTTTACACCATACTTGTGGCGCATCGAGGTGCGCGGCATCCCGCACATGCGCCGCACCGCGCACCGCGCATGGGGTGCGGCGCACCCCGAAAATAAGGGGTCGGCAAAAAAAAAAAAAAGTTGGGGAGGGGTGTTGTAGGCTCGAGTGGGATGTCGCGTCAAGAAACAAAAAAC